TTTAATGTCACTTTAAGCTCGTTGTCCCTGTGCAAAATAAAGCCAGCAGCTCAATCAAGGAAAGCAACTTTGTAGGTGACAGTAGAGAGAGGTTTGTTTTTAATGGGTTCGAGCAGCAGTTCTTGAAGTTCCAAAAAAAAGAACAAGATTCAGGTCTCACTGAGTCAAAGAGGAATACACTTGGGAAACCAAGTGGTAGACCCCCTGCAAAGGTCTCAATCAGAGACTTGGTAACCAAAATCTCTGAAATAGAATGGAAAGTACAGAGACTTGACCTTTAATGGTGCTGAAAGCCAAAACATTGGTCCAAACCCAATTGTAGAAGGGAAAAGTCCACAGAAAAGTTCCTGGGGTGAAAGTCCCTGGACTCACACCAAGTAAAGTCCGTGGTTTACATTCTATGATAGACCTTGTGGGAAATTGACTTCCTAGCTTTAAGCATCATAGGAATCACAAACCAGGTAATTAAAGCAAATGACTGAGAATCAGGATGGCAAATCAGCCCTTGGGATAGTAGATCCAGATGGTTTGACAGGACCCATTGTTCATCTGCTAGAAGCCTTACCAGGGCGGTGTACCATGTCCTTCTGGGCCAATTTTGAGCAAGGAGGATGTCAGGAACCGGATCTGAACCCAGGGCCTCTGCTGTAGCTGGCGGTGGTTCTACCTGCTGAGCCACCTTAGAACCTTGGATAGCTCCTTGCCTGATCTCATGTGTAATCCTCAGTTAAACCTAATCTCTGCTGAACTCTGAACTCCTTGCTCCTCCCTTGAACTTCCTATTTAAGCCACGCCTCTGCACTTCCTGTTTGCCAGAAAACTGTGCTCCTGCCGATATCTTGCTTCCTTGCTCCTCCTGTGATACAATCCTCTCATACTGCTACCCGTGCACCGACCTTTGGCTGCCGATTCACTGACTACTCTCTCCGTCTCCTGCTTCATACCTGATACCTTTGGCTACTGACCTCGGCTTGTTCGCTGACTTCACTTCTGCCTGCTCCTCCACTACTACCGTCTGCTTGTGTACCGAACCCGGCCTGTTATACCACGAATTGCCTTCTGCTTCAGCTACTGGACTCTGAGCCTGATCCCAGATCGTGACAGAGGATCACTTGGATGCCCTCTATCTCTATCCTGCGGAGCAGATGAAAAATAAACTGAGCCCAATATAATGAGGGTGGCCTCTCTTGCTGCTCTAGTTTAAGCACTTGTGATAGTGAGACAGAGAGTGCTGGGACGAAATAGTGGCATGAGTGCCCGCAGGTGATGTTGCCACTATACTTACCAGAACTGGTGGATGCAAACATCTGGATTCTGGATGTGGCAAGGAATGCCAATCACTAGAGGGTGGTCAGGTTGGATGGCACCAGTACAGTGGGCGGAGACATAGTCAGGAATAGGCTGGGTCAGTAACTTGTGGGCAACAAGGGTACAAAAGGCAGCGGGCAGAGATAAAGTCAGGGACAGGTCAGGTCTGTAACTTGCGACCAACAAGGTGCAAAGGCAGCAGGAGCAGGAGTAGCGATCAGAAGAGTTGAGAGGCAAGCCTGGTCGGTAACAGAATCAGAGTCTAAGATCACAGGATACAGCTGAAGATCTCTCAGCACTGGAGGCATGCAGAGCTCAGCCTTAAACATCCCGTTTGGTGCCATCATTCACAATGAGCATCTGCACGCATGCTGCAGGACATGCACACAGATGTGTCCACATTTGCTCAGAGGCACAGGGCTATGCAAAATGTGCACCCGGCACATTCACAGATGCTCGTGCAGAGCCCCTGCTATGTGGGCTGGCTGAACCTTGCTGACAAGACCACTATTCCAGTTCCAGGCACTGCCGGCTAAGTAATTCTGCCTACCAATTTTCTACACCTGGAATGTACATGGCTGACAAGGTTGGATCCGCTCTATCTCTCAGACTCCTATCTCTCAAGACTTCTGGTTCCTCCCTGATGGCTGGTGCACATCACCACCATGGCAGTGTCTGACTAAATCCAAATTAGATTGCCCTCCAACAGATAGGTCTAATGCTGAAGAGATAGAAAAATTGCCTGAAGCTACAAGGTGTTAATTGGGAGACGATAATAGTGTATTGCAGCTGTCTACCATGGAACTGGGCAAAGGAAATAAGCCCCATGACTCTCATGGACAGCTTCTGGATTGACAAGTTACAACCTGGGAGTCTGAAGGTGCAGTCCGCAGATTTCAGCTAAGTGACATCCTCCCACTTGTAAGACCTGCCCACCCATCTGCACCAAGGCCTAGTGAGATAGTTTGACAAAGTGCACAGCTAGGATCTACCATTACAGGCTGCATCTGAACACGGGTACCATATGAGGAGCAGGTTCCACCTTTTCCCAGAATGTGAATCTTGAAGTAACTGTTACCATGTAGCATTAGGGGCCACACCAATTAAGTCTGTGAGTAAAAGGATAGACAAGTGTTACACTGAAAATCCATAAATGGAGGAAGACAGAGGTGACTTGTGATGAAGAGTGCGGAGGGCAAAGGGTTAAGGCTTATGGGAAAGGTGAGAAGAACAGGGGGTATAGAAATATGGGGAAGGCGTGCAGAGGGCAAAGGCTTATGTAGTATGTGTAAGGAAGGTTAGGGATGGAAAGCAGATGCTTATGGTTAAGGTTGAGGAGGATAGGAGGCAAAGAGTGGAGGGTTATGGGTAAGGTTCGAGGGAACTTAGGGACAGGGGCTTATTAGGAAGGGTGAAGATGATAGGGGGCAGATGATTATAATGAAGGTGGGAGAAGGGTTAAGGTCTGAGAGTGGGGGCTTATATTGCCACCTTGACATTCATACTATAGGCAGCCAAGTACAGCCAGTTTGTTTATTACAGCTGGCAGAGTTAGTGTGTACAGAAGTGGTGTCGATGCCAAGCCAGTTGCTGCTAGAGAAAACAAAGTGCTGCTATCATTTCCCTTCTGCTGATAGCTTCCTGCTCTGTAAGGGGAAATTGGCCACACTCTACATACATGAGCTGCTGACAGCTTCCTGCTCTATGGGAATGTAAGAGGAAATTGGCCACATTCTACATGCAAGTAGGCCACAGAGATGCCTCCAACATACTGTGCTAGCCAAACTCCTATGTACAGGAAGAAAGAAACACCCAAGAGATTAGTCAAATTTGTCCTCCAATGATTTGGCAGCTGAAGATGCGCTTATAAAAGTTTATACAATATAATAATAATAGTTTTATGAGCATTCTGCTCCATATGGAGTAATTTATTTACATAGTTATATTTGATGAGGATCTAATAATCTTAAGCAGTGCAAACAGCAGCCACAAGTGAGAGGAAAGGCTGAAATAAATGTGAGCAGGTAGACGTGGTGGCAGTGAGTCGGTAGAAGTTCCTGGTATAGGTGAGTTGTTTGAAATTACAGATAGTTTTGGTTTGGAAGATGTTGCGGGTTTAAGTTAGTTTCTAGAAGTTGGTGGTGGCAGCGGGTTGTTTAAAATCTCTGGTGGAGGTGAGATAGATTTTTTTTGGTGGTGGTGATGGGATAGTAGAAGTCTCTGATGGAGGTGGGATAGTAGAGGTCTTTGGTGGAGGTGGGGCAGTAGAAGTCTCTGATGGAGGTGGGGTAGTAGAAGTCTCTGATGGAGGTGGGGTAGTAGAAGTCTCCGATGGAGGTGGGGTAGTAGAAGTCTCTGATGGAGGTGGGATAGTAGAGGTCTTTGGTGGAGGTGGGGCAGTAGAAGTCTCTGATGGAGGTGGGGTAGTAGAAGTCTCCGATGGAGGTGGGGTAGTAGAAGTCTCCAAAGGAGGTGGGGTGGTAGAAGTCTCTGCTGGAGGTGGGGTAGTAGAAGTCTCCGATGGAGGTGGGGGTAGTAGAAGTCTCTGATGGAGGTGCGGTAGTAGAAGTCTCCGATGGAGGTGGGGTAGTAGAAGTCTCTGATGGAAGTGGGGTAGTAGAAGTATCCGATGGAGGTGCGGTAGTAGAAGTCTCTGATGGAGGTGGGGTAGTAGAAATCTTTGGTGGAGGTGGGGTAGTAGAAGTCTCCAATGGAGGGGGGGGAGTAGATGATGGAGGTGCGGTAGTAGAAGTCTCTGATGGAGGTGGGGTAGTAGAAATCTTTGGTGGAGGTGGGGTAGTAGAAGTCTCCGATGGAGGTGGGGTAGTAGAAGTCTCTGATGGAGGTGGGGTAGTAGAAGTCTCCGATGGAGGTGGGGTAGTAGAAGTCTCTGATGGAGGTGCGGTAGTAGAAGTCTCTGATGGAGGTGGGGTAGTAGAAGTCTCTGATGGAGGTGCGGTAGTAGAAGTCTCTGATGGAGGTGGGGTAGTAGAAATCTTTGGTGGAATTGGAGAACACTTTGGGCTTAGGGTTCTGAGGATACAGATACAGAATCCTAAGCCATCCGCTCATCCCTTTTTCTCATCGGTAAAAGTGCCTCTTAAGCTGGCCATACACTTTACAACCAGCGCACGACTTTCATTGTGCGATGGTTGTAAAGTAATCCGGATAGTCTGTCAGGGCCCATGGTGTGCCTGCTAGAACATATGATGAACGGTACCAAAAAAAATCACAGGTTAGCCTTCAAAATAGTAGAGCTGAAGAAAAGACATCAATCCTCCGAGGACTGCTGGTAGTAGAAAGGTTTATACCCTGGGCTGGTCTAGAGGTTTATTTTGTTTGCCAGTGTCCAATCCTCCTGTAGGCGACAGTATAACCCAAAAGGTTTAAGACTTCCAGTGTCCCTTACTGAATGAGAAAAAAATATGTTACTTTATACCCAGGCTCGGACAAACCTCATGTCCTGCAGAACCATGACAAAATGAGAAACAAGTTGAGAGAAGAGCAAAAGTGGTTCAGTGGCGGCACTTTTCCAGTTGTGACTTGTCTGTCTTATGTACAATGGGCCCACAGCCATGTCTGTTCTCCTCCACCACAAACTCTCAGCAGTGTCTGTATAACCTATACGAGTCTGTACAGTCTTTCAGCTTGATGACATCACCACCCTGGTCAGACCTCCCTGCCCATCTGTATCAAGGCCAAGCGAGATAGTTTGACATAGCGCAGAGATCGACCACTACAGGCTGCGCATTCAGATGAGTCCCAAATGAGAAGCAGGTTCCACCTCCACCCAGGATGACAATCTGCTTTGAGTCTTGAAGGAGGACAGAACTGTGACCATGCAGCATGAGGGGCCATGTCAACGAGGCCTGCAAGTAAAAAGACAAGTGTTACACTGAAAACCTATAAATAGAAGCAGACAGGGGTGACCTAGCGGGATGATTGGGGAGGGCAAAGGTTTATGGGGAAGGGTGAGAAGAAGGACAGCGGGCAACATGTGTAGAGTTATGGGGAAGGTGTGATAAGAATTTGGGGCAGACGTATGAAGTAGGCATGAAGAGGGTTGGGGACAGAAGGTGGATGTTTATGGGGAATGTTGAGAAGAAGGACAGGGGGAAAAGTGTGGAGAGTTATGGGGAAGGTGTGATATGAATTTGGGGCAGACGCTTATAAAAGTAGGCATAAGGAGGGTTAAGGACCGAAGGTGGATGTTTATGGGGAAGGGTGAGGAGAATAAGAAGCAGAGGCTTATGGGATAAGTGCAAGATGACAGAGGGTGACGGCTTATGGGGAAGGGTAAAGAGGACATGGGGCAGAGTGTGGGGACTTATAGTAAGGGTGGGCAGGGTAGATGACAGCGGGTACAGGTGCAGGCGTATAAAGAAGGGTGAGGAGGATAGGGGGCAGAGTGTGGGGGCTTATAGTAAGGGGGGGCAGGGTAGATGACAGCGGGTACAGGTGCAGGCGTATAAAGAAGGGTGAGGAGGATAGGGGGCAGAGTGTGGGGGCTTATAGTAAGGGGGGGCAGGGTAGATGACAGCGGGTACAGGTGCAGGCGTATAAAGAAGGGTGAGGAGGATAGGGGGCAGAGTGTGGGGGCTTATAGTAAGGGGGGGCAGGGTAGATGACAGCGGGTACAGGTGCAGGCGTATAAAGAAGGGTGAGGAGGATAGGGGGCAGAGTGTGGGGGCTTATAGTAAGGGGGGGCAGGGTAGATGACAGCGGGTACAGGTGCAGGCGTATAAAGAAGGGTGAGGAGGATAGGGGGCAGAGTGTGGGGGCTTATAGTAAGGGGGGGCAGGGTAGATGACAGCGGGTACAGGTGCAGGCGTATAAAGAAGGGTGAGGAGGATAGGGGGCAGAGTGTGGGGGCTTATAGTAAGGGGGGGCAGGGTAGATGACAGCGGGTACAGGTGCAGGCGTATAAAGAAGGGTGAGGAGGATAGGGGGCAGAGTGTGGGGGCTTATAGTAAGGGGGGGCAGGGTAGATGACAGCGGGTACAGGTGCAGGCGTATAAAGAAGGGTGAGGAGGATAGGGGGCAGAGTGTGGGGGCTTATAGTAAGGGGGGGCAGGGTAGATGACAGCGGGTACAGGTGCAGGCGTATAAAGAAGGGTGAGGAGGATAGGGGGCAGAGTGTGGGGGCTTATAGTAAGGGGGGGCAGGGTAGATGACAGCGGGTACAGGTGCAGGCGTATAAAGAAGGGTGAGGAGGATAGGGGGCAGAGTGTGGGGGCTTATAGTAAGGGGGGGCAGGGTAGATGACAGCGGGTACAGGTGCAGGCGTATAAAGAAGGGTGAGGAGGATAGGGGGCAGAGTGTGGGGGCTTATAGTAAGGGGGGGCAGGGTAGATGACAGCAGGTACAGGTGCAGGCTTATAAAGAAGGGTGAGGAGGATAGGGGCAGAGGGTGTAGACCATGACAAGAATTCCGTTCATAGACTATGGCCAAGTTGAATTGTGGAGTAATTTTATTTCCAGTTGTAAGGAATCATCTCCGTGTGTATTGTAGAAGGATAGCAGCCCTCGGTCACATACTCACAGTATCAAGCTGAAATTCACCAACTTGTCCGGTTTTCAGATCTACTACAGCCAATCCTGGTACACCTCGTCTGTGTATCCAGACTCCTCCGACTAGAAGCAGCTTGTCGCCAATCACATGCGAGGTGTGAGCGTACCTGGGGGAAAGGCGGTGACAGCACACACAAAAATGAAAGCTTAATCTGCTGGCAGTCTGCCTTCCCCTTAGGGAACACTCCGGGATACTGGTAATCTGCGCTGTAGCTCTCGTTAGATACGCACAACACAAACATCATCATTCTAAATAAAACTTCCTAGAATTTGAACAAACGACCTTTTTGAATGTTGTGACGCGACAGCTTTAATAGAGAAAGCGCAGTTACGACCAGCCAGCCGGCAGAGGTACCCAGCGACCAGCGATATAACTTCCATTCGCTGTGCAGCGCCATTGGGACAGACTACAATTCACATCATGCAATGAAAATCGTAGTTGTGATTGGGCGTCAGTGGGATTGGGGGCAGGTTTGTAGCCAATTTACACCTTGCTCTTGGTTATCTGCTGCCTACGTCCACATCGCTGCACGCAAGTTATTATAAACCTTTTTATATTCACATAATAAAACAATAACAAATGTATTCATTTACTTTATAAAGCTTCTTATCTGGTGCTCACAGTCCAACCCTGTATGTGGCTGTGATGAGCGGCCATTACAGTGAGCCTAGGTGAGCTGCGCTTACAATGAGCCGAGGTGAAAGCCAATGGTTTTCAGAAGACAAGACCTGGAGTCTCCCAAAGGAGTGAGCAGCTTTTTTTATGAACACACTGTTAGTGCTTTTGATTGTTTATTTCAAATAAAGTTTGATGTAAAGTCTGCCTCTAAATTAGAAGATTCCAACTGGAGTTATTATAACGCGGTGCCCAGTATACGAGGAGGGGAGTCTTGGGACGTGCCATTACCTGGGAGTGAGAGGGGGGCTCGTCTCCAGCTTCTCCCACTCGAAATGAGTTTGGCGGGGTTGTAAGATGTAAACTGATCCTGTGGGAAGTCCGGACTCGAGGAGACCTCCAGATATAACAGCCGCACCCTTCCATCCAGAAGAGCTTTGACTATGGCACCGCGGAGGAGCCGTGCCCATAACCTGGACCTGCAGAACAAGACAAGATGTTATTGTATAAAATGCTGGGGAAAGCAATGCCAAGGGCTGTGCTGAGGGGTAGGCAGAAGAGGCAATTGCCTTGGGCACTTCAGCGGGGGGAGGGGGGAGTGCAACAAGGGCAGAGTCTGCAACTTATGCTGCTGATGTACTTCAGGACTTATGGAAGTGGTGGGGCACACTTTGGCCTTTACGACTTGGGTGTATAGGACTTTGTCCCAGCACCGCTGAGGAGTCTAGCCATTTACATTGGTCTAACATGTCCAGCTGTCTGCAGACTGGCGGGAGGTGCTGTATTTCAAATGCTTATGGTGAAGGTTTTGAAAGAAAAGTGTTATAAAAGTAAAAGCAAAGATCAGAAAGTAGAAACATGCATGAAGACCCCTAGAAATGGCAGCAGTTTCCAAGGATCTCCATCTGGTCAACCTAAAAGGCATTTAAGTGCCTAGACAGTTGCCCTGAAGAACCCTCCAAACATAAACATTTTACATATTAAATCATTTACTTACTGACCACTAGTGCAATGGGGTCCTTCCCTAATGGGATCCTTCCTTCATTAACCACCAGTGTAATGGGGCTCTTCTTTCACTGACCACCCGTGTAATGGGACCCTTCCTTCATTAACCACCAGTGTAATGGGACCCTTCCTTCATTAACCACCCGTGTAATGGGGCCCTTCCTTCATTAACCACCAGTGTAATGGGACCCTTCCTTCATTAACCACCAGTGTAATGGGATCCTTCCTTCATTAACCACCAGTGTAATGGGATCCTTCCTTCATTAACCACCAGTGTAATGGGGCCCTTCCTTCATTAACCACCAGTGTAATGGGACCCTTCTGTCACTGACCACCAGTGTAATGGGACCCTTCTGTCACTGACCACCAGTGTAATGGGACCCTTCTGTCACTGACCACCAGTGTAATGGGACCCTTCTGTCATTGACCACTAGTGTAATGGGACCCTTCGCTCACCTACCACCAGTGTAATGCGGCTCTTCTTTCACAGACCACCAGTGTAATGGGGCCCTTCCTTCATTAACCACCAGTGTAATGGGACCCTTCTGTCACTGACCACCAGTGTAATGGGACCCTTCTGTCACTGACCACCAGTGTAATGGGACCCTTCTGTCATTGACCACTAGTGTAATGGGACCCTTCGCTCACCTACCACCAGTGTAATGCGGCTCTTCTTTCACAGACCACCATTGTTATGGGGCCCTTCTCTCGATGACCACCATTGTAATAGGGCTCTTCTCTTACCATTTCTCCACTGACCACCAATATGAGGCAGCACTGCAAATTGTATTCTCTGCAATTATCATCTGACCATTATTATTATACTTTTCATTCCGTTATTATTAATGAAATCAATGTTGCCGTATGGAGCAGCCCTGGGTGTCCAATACACCATTACCCCTCATTCCTTATTATTTTATTGTTATATCCCAACTTACTGCAAGCCATAGTAATTATATCCAGGGGTTCCCTGTGACCTGAAAGCTATTTAAAGGGTCCCTCCATGTTAATAAGGTTCCTGTATTACAGGAAGAATTTAATGTTAGTGACCCCAACAAAATGAAGAGAGACATGGAGTAAGACCTGGTCAGCTGCGTCTGTTCTCAGTGCATCACCACCTACCTGAACCCAGCGCGGCTCATCCTCCTGGAGAAAGAGGCCATCTTCCTGCAGGGCTGCAGACGGCACTGAGCGACCTCCAAACACAAAGGTATATTTCTTTCCTGACCGAGGATGAAACGGGCATCGTTATTCAATACAGACATGGAAGCTGGATTGAACAGAACGTTCACCATCTAATCATACACCTCATACAGAAACACCTGATGTACACTGTATGGCCCAAACGTTTGTATACACTCGGCCATCACTTTTACACTGAATGGCCAGATTATTATGACCACCCCATCAGTACTTGGTTGGGCCGCCTCGTGACTCCACGAGATGATGAAAGGTGATGCGAGGAATCTGACACGGCACTGTCGCCCTTCTGTTGTCTTGTACCAGTCTTGCCCCTCCTCCGTTCTGCCCTAACATTGACTAGTCGCTGACGTCCACAATTCGCACGTTCAGACCCAGATTTTCGGCTGACAGTCCGGTCTTTAAACACTTTAACAATGAGCTGCTCTTGAACATTTAACGAATTCTGCTGTTTTGCTGATACTCGCTCCATGGCTCAGAGCGCCAACAATCATCCCGCGTTCAAAGGCTGTTACATCGCGTTGTTTCCCCGTATCTTCAGAAACAAATCACTTCTACTGTCGTGGTAAACAACCCGCTTCCCTATTTATAATGGTCTGGCCCTCTAGCAACTTCAGCGCCAAATTATAGCTCATTTGCCTACAAACGTCAGGTGGTCATAATAGAGGATAGGTTAAATTTAAATCAAAAGTACACCTATCCTTTTTGCCCCCTTCCCCTGACCCCCCATCCACAGATACATACAAGACCCCCAGTGAGGGTTTATGATACGCAGTGCATTAGCAATCTAAATGGCATCCGGTGAAGGTTTACATCTACTTTAAAGCTGAACTCCAGAATTCTGCCCACTTTGGACTTCTCGTTTCCCTTCGTCATGCACATTAATAAACGTTTTTACATATTTTTCAACTAATTCCTAACTTTAAATCCCAACTCTGGTCAAAAAATGAACCACCTCCCACCTATCGTGCATGTGGTTTTCTCTGCTTGAGGAGGGCGCTAACCCACCCCTTGCAGATGGTCCCTTGCCATCCAGTCACGGACATTGCTCTGACATCACTCCTCTCCTGGACCCCACCACTGCACAGCCAATAGTCACGGACATTGCTCTGACATCACTCCTCTCCTGGACCCCACCACTGCACAGCCAATAGGAAGTCACTGTCTGCAACCTACAAATTTTGGGAGAACTATCCATAGCTGCAAAAAGATTTACATTCTGAATCCATTCCTTCATTCTCATCATTTCAGAGCCATAAGAAAGGGGGTTGTATTTGCCCCAAACATGTTGTCTGTTTGATCAACACAATTATCACATTTGTTTTGGACTCCAACATCTGTTTTGGTCTGGCGCTGTTCTGTTTTCTATCCCCGAGCTGCTCCCTGTGCCTCCTATTGGGGACGGGGTGTTTTTGAGCTGCCTAACCATAAGCTAATGAGCTACCTACAAATCAAATTGGGTCCATCATAAAAGACAGCAAGAGACTCCTTCCAATTTGACCCCAATAGTAAGTATTCACGTCACTGCCGGTAAGGAAGGATCCCGTGGGATGAAAACAGAAAAGGAGGAGAGAAGACTTGAACCCAGCACGTCACAAGATTGCAGCCTTATGGAAGTAATAAGGGCATTTATTTTTCATGCCAGCAATCAGTTAGAGGGGGATGGGGGGGACGGGGGTTCTAGTTTTGGGTTAGGCTTTAGGCAGTTTATATATTTCTTCCTTGTGAGGTTGTCGGCTGATTCTGAAAAATTTGCTGTGCGCAGGCGTCTAGGGGAGGATCCATACAGGTGCCACACGTCACATGACCATGGGGAAAAAGGAACTACATTTGCCATGATTCAATGTGCCTGCACACTGGGTTATATGAATGATGTGCCTGCACACTGGGTTATATGAATGATGAGCCTGCACACTGGGTTATATGAATGATGAGCCTGCACACTGGGTTATATGAATGATGAGCCTGCACATTGGGTTACTTGAATAGCTGCCAACCAATGGCTGTGGGCGGGTTGCTACAGGTGCTGTAAAAATTGAACCTGCCCTTAGAAGGAAGCGTGAAGAAGGTGAGCACATGGCCGTCCTCCTTCTCTCAGTGGCAGGACATGGTCCTTGAGCACCCAAGACATAAATGTGCAGAGTTCATCTTTAAATGGGATGAGGGATGACCTGAGTACAGCTTTAAATGGGATGAGGGATGACCTGAGTACAGCTTTAAATGGGATGAGGGATGACCTGAGTACAGCTTTAAATGACCAGCATGAGGGATGACCTGAGTTCAGCTTTAAATGACCAGCATGAGGGAGGACCCGAGTTCAGCTTTAAATGACCAGCATGAGGGATGACCTGAGCTTAGCTTTAAATGACCAGCATGAGGGATGACCTGAGCTTAGCTTTAAATTACCAGCATGAGGGATGGCCCGAGTTCAGCTTTAAATGACCAGCATGAGGGATGACCTGAGCTTAGCTTTAAATTACCAGCATGAGGGATGACCTGAGCTTAGCTTTAAATGACCAGCATGAGGGATG